AAAAAAAAGAAGAAGAAGAAGAAGAAGATGAAGAAGAAGAGGGAATGGGGTTTGTTGTGCCGACATAAATTCAAGGAAAAGAGGAAATATGAATTAAGGTTATATTTGTAAATCTGAATAAAAAAATAGAGTGGATAACACATCTCACCTATGAGCTGAGATACACAATATTAAAAATTGTTAATAATTGACCGGGTCCTTCCATTTTAACGGGCTTGGAGTGCTTGAACCAAACATGTTTGTATGCATGAAATAATAACAATACATGATATCAAGCTCAATCCAGCCTACCAAACGGACCTTTACAAAATAAATTTTGATTGTATACACTTACAAAATACCATATATATACTGCTAAATAAAAAGCCTATCTCGAATCCTAATATAATTTGTGGCGATAGAGGATGTACCAAAAGACCAAACAAATAATGTTGTGTACAATGATGTGTTTAATAATATATAAATTACATTTTGTTTATTCCAATACATGCGTTTTACGTTCTTCCAATCATTCAATAATCCAAATTCAAATGTTTACCTTAATAAAACTAGCGCGTGCATTGCACGGTACCGCACTAGTTAGCCTATTAAGAATAACTATTAACTAAAAATAGTAGTAAAAATTGTTGGAAGCATTTAATGCATATCTTTTTTGGAAACTTTATAAATATATGCATTAATTGCTTCTATATACACGTTTTTCAATAAGATTATATTAGATATGATAAAAAATATTGTTTCCTATTATTATCTTCATTAATTTCATTGATATCCATTATAACAAATTTCAAGATTGATTTTCCGTGATTCATGTTGATAATATTTTGGTCAAGATAAATATTACAACATATTTTAAGTTCTAACTATAATATTAATGTTTTTTTTCACAAATATCACTTTTTAATTCAAAAATATTTATTGAAAATCGTAACATGTTAAGTTAAATTTTTTCTTCCAATTAATCAAGCGAAATCAAGTTGGACAATTAACCTTTGCTAATATAATTTTTTTCTTAATCTTTATTTCGTTATATATAAAAAACAAATTATTCTTAAAATTAATATAATTTACCATTTAAGAGATATTGACCAGATACAATAAATAGTTTTACTAATGGTAAAAAAAATAAAATATAATAATTGGTTTTTAGAATTTATATGTATATTATTGACAAACATGATTGATTTTTTAACTATTTGTTTATTTGATTTCTTTCTATAATGAAATTCAGATAATCATTGCAGAGTATGTTAAATAAATTATAAATTCTTCTAATGTAATTAGAAAAAACTTAATTATAGAAGGGACTGAGTTTTTGGCATATGCTAAATCAAAGTTGTTTAATTTGTATACAAAATTAAATTCTAAAAAAACATTTGTGTATATTTTATAAAATATTTTTACACTATTTAATTTTAAATTTATTTACATACCTTAAATTGATTACATAAATAAATAATACTAACTTACATTAAATATTTTTCATTACATAAAATAAAAAAAAAGTAAGACTTACAACTTCTATAAAATTTTATAAATAACAGTGACAATATATGACAACAAAGTTTATAATAAAAAATAATTAAGTATTATATGGTGAACAAGAAAAAGTAAAACAATTATTTTTCTCCTATATGAAGGAATAAATATATATACTAAAACAAAAATTTACATCAGAATAAAAGTATTAGTGTGATAATTTTATTATTTTACAAGCTAGCCCTAACATGTTCATATTTAATGTTTTGCTAAGAAAACGTTGATTAAAGGATGTGAAAAATAGATATAAACTGATGGGTCTCTTCTCAGATCTGGAACGAACCGGTGAGAAATCCCGGATCTGGAATGAACCGATGGGAATGAGCTCAGATCTGACTTGATGGCCTCCGAACCATCGTTGAACCGTAAGAACACCTGCAAGAACTCAACACCGGAGGAGTTTCCGTTGTAGAGCCTCCGACGCTCAAGTCAATATGTGAAAAAGATGAAAAGAGCTATTCTGTGAGAGAGCAGCAGCAGTAATGGAGAAGAATATGGAATGAATGGGAGTTAGGGTTTTGGAGTTACCTCAACTCCTTTATATAGAAGTGAAACATTTACCTGAAGTCCCCAAAATGCCCCGGCCGACTTACTGGAAATGTCCAAACTACCCTGGTCGATTCGGATTCCGTCCATCTCCTAGTCAACATCTAGATTCTTCCTTATCCTTAACTTCTCTTCGATATGCTGGTGTATTAGAGCTGTCGAGACCTATGAACTTTGAGACCTCTTCAGTCGACTTGAGATATCGACTCGAGTCGACTGGGTCATATTCAACCGCTAATGGATCCTGATATTCTTTTGGCCGTCATCCCGGAGGAAATCGACTTATACTAGTCGACATGTAGGAGTCGACCGAGGGGTATCTGGACCCCTAATTGGAGATATTATAGGGAATATGATGAGGGAGTCAAATTTGGCTGAGTCGACTCGGTAATTTCGGAATCCTTGACAGTGTAAACCGTTATACGATAATATGGCTATATCATCTAGTCCCCCCAAAAATTACTCGAAGCGATTCTGAGCTTAAGTGTAAGTTTTTACGACTGAATGTCTCACCCGAATCCTTTCACATATCCTGTCGCCAATCGTTGCTCTAAGTCGCGCCCACTTGCTATCTTCGACTCATAACACGATTTGTCCACTCAGTAAGTTTCGAATTGATTAGATAAGTCTGAATCTTTTCAAATATCAAAATTCAAAAAGTAAGTCTTTGAATATTGATAAGACGCTTTCTCTCTCCACCGCTTCGTGTTCCGTGCCCCATTTCAACCGTTGGATATGACTTTAATCTGAGGGTAAGAATTTCTTTGCTTTCCCTATAAATACTTCTCCTTTTCTCTCATCTTCACTTTTCTCCCTCAGACTTCTCCGAATTCTTTGTTTCTCCGGCAAATACAGCATCTCAAGCTTTCCGGCGCTCCTTTCATTTTCCGACGTCCTTCTCAGATCTTTTAGGACCTCTCCGCTAATCATCATGAGTATGAATAAGTTTTCTTTGCTCTTCGATTTATTGATGTATTCATCATACAAACTTTTTTGCTTTTCTGGGTAATATGTTTGAGGCTTGTATGTTCGTCGGATCTTCTGGGAATTTTTAGATGAGATTTCTAGCAGTTTTCCCTTGTTAGATCTTTAGTTGCAGATCTCTCATTACCCTTAAGTGTTTTCATTTGTTCTATCGAGTCGATATGGGGAATATTTTCCTTGTTTCTTCTCTCCTCCTCCCTGTCGTCGAGTCGTCTTCCGTGCCCCTTTGATCCTCTTGTCGATCCTTATCTTTTAAAGTTGGATCTCGGTCGTATTTCCCATACCTGCTGATTTTCTTTCTCTCTTTTTATAGATTCCAATCTCGACCCCATTTCTGATCCTGTCTCGGGTTCTCTAGTCCGCGAAATCGATGGCTATTCGGGTTTGGATTCTGTCCACTTAGTTGATGTCGGTCCGTGTTATCCAAACACTGTACCAGAGGACTCTGTCAACTCCAATGCCTCATCCTTTGGTATCGATTGGAATGTGTACAATCAGGCGCTGCTTTCGGGCACACTTTGTGAGGATCCTGAAGTTCCTCGAGCTTTTGCATCTTCTCGCCTCGACTTGATTCCTCGAGGTATTCTTTACTAGGTTCTTCTAGACATCTTTCCATATAGGACAAGCCTTATTCATTTGCTGGTACTGACTCCCCCGATTGAGTCTTAATGTGTGACATAGTTCCTAATGTTGTTTTCTTATGCTCCTGCAGCCGAATTCGATGGCTTCAGAGAGTACAGTGGTCTTCCTTTTGATTGGGCCCTGGTTGCCCCAACGCCCGAAGACGACTTCTGTAATCCTCCCAGGGGTTGTTATACCTTTTTTTGTAGATCAAATAATTTCGGAATTGCGTTTCCCGATTCAACCTGAGCGGATATCGCTAAGTAACCTTTTTGATATACCAATAAATCAGTTCACCCCCAACTCTATTTGGATAATGGTAGCCTTTGTAGTTGTTACCCGCATAGTTTTAGGTAATTTTTTGCCCGAGTTCTTTCATTATTGATATGGGTATCAGTTTAGTAAAGATGCCCATTGTCTGGGTCGCCGGGTAGGCGTTACTTTTCTTGACGACCTTTCCTCGAACATTACTGAATGGAAGAAGAAATATTTCTTCATTCGACCCGCTCCTGGCCAATATCCCTTTTCGAATGAGTGGATTACCAGCAGGACAAAGCAACGTAAGCGTCCCGACTCTTCACAGTTTGCGGATATGCTAGACGAATTAAATAAACGCGTGTGGAGTGCTCATCGACTTACCAAAGATAATTCTTTACTTAATCACGCTGGTATTTGTGTTGACAAAAGCGTTCCTTGTCTTAACGATCCTTGTAAGCTTTTTGTTTATCGTCCTTTGTTTCTATTTGTTTACCGATTGTTTGGCCTCGTGCTTTTGTGTTAATTTGTCTCGGAATACATGTATGGCTCGTGTGTTTGTTTGTATTTAATTGTATTCTGTTTTTCAGTAAAAGCTTTGGCCCGTTTTGAGAAGAAGAAGGCTGAAGCGGCCAGCAAATCGGTTGCTCGGGAGCTTGGAGGTGGCTCGAGCTCTGTTGCTCCATCGGCGGCGGTCGAGACGACTGCCGCTAAAAAGTCGAAAGTTGTTCTTCCCTCCGCCTCTGTTCCGAGCAAGCCGTCGGGTTCCACTCCCGCAAGAGGTCTCATGACCAGCGGGAACAGGCTTTGGCACCTGGCTCCTCGAAGCGCCAGGAGAGGAAAGAGCCAGAAGCCGTGGTCGACGCGATTGCGCCTCTGGCTGGAGAGGGTGCGGGACAACCGTCGCCCGTGAGGGTGCAACTGGTGACCCTCCAACAACCCTCTCGACTTTATGACAACCCCGACTCCCTCCAGATTCTCAACTACCTCCAGTCAGCTCTTTCGGAGGACGACCGAGCATGCTCCGACGGCAACCCATATGACAGAGCTCTTTATGTCGCTCGGCTCATTCCTCGGGTAAGTTTAATCTTATGTTTGTTTGCTTCTTTCTCATAATTTTAGTGTTGTGTCGATTTCTTATTATTTTATTTCTTCGTTCTTTCTTCAGCTTCTCGCCTGCAGTCTTCCAACTATGATCGAGGAGGCGATCTCCCCCGAATCTAATGTTAAGGTTTTGGGGGAGAAGTACGCGGCCAAGTGCGACGAGCTCGCGGCCAAGGAAGAGGAGCTTGAGGCTGCTAATGCCGTCATCGCCAAACTCCGCTCTGACAAGGAGACGGCTTTCCGTAAGGCTGAACGGCTGAGAGTCGACTTGGTCAAGGTGAATGACGAAGTCTTGGTCGAGAGGGAGAACGGAATACAGGAAGGTCGACGGACCTTCTTGAAGTCCACCGCAGGGGCGATTTTCCTTGATCACTACCGTAAGGCTGTGGTCGAGGGATTTTGTGCCTCCCCCGAGTTTCTTGACGAGCTTTTTCCCGCGGCTGTCCAATACTTTGACTATGCCTGCGACACGGGGGAGCAGGCTGTGACCAAGCCCGACTTCTCGAAAAAAATCGATCGAGAAGCCGCGAAGCTAACTCTTCCCGACCCCATCGACTACCAGGAGGCGGTTCTTTCCCCCGGCCATGCGTGGTGGAGTGGCCTGGTGGCCAAGGCCATCCATTCGGCTGGGCTATCCTCTCTGCTTGATGTCCCTCCATTTCTTTTGGTCGGCCTAGTTGAATTGGTCGAGCCGAGTGGTGCGAACTACGAAGAAGAGCCATTCGACGAGGAGATTGAAGTCGAGCGGTCTAATACGGAGTCGATTGAGGAGGAGGAAGAGGCTCGGAGTGAGCCGGTTGGCGATGAAGGCGGAGCTGCTGATGAAAATTCGACAGCCGACTCCCAGAAGGCTTAGATTTAGACTTTTTCCCCTTTTTTTCTCTTTTTTTTTTATTTATGTTTCTGCTTGTACTCTTCTCTCTTTGTTTTTACCATATCATCCTATTTTCCCTATGTAAAGGGTGAGATGGTTTCGGATGTAATGAATTTTTCTTTAATGTAATGCTTATTGCGCTATTTTTATATCGTTGTCTTCTCGCAGCTGTAGCTTTTTATTTAATTGTTTGGTTTTCTTATTTCGCCTTACTGTCTTCTCCCAACCCATCTTGCGAGCTGGTCGAAGTCGAGCAACAGTTTCGACAGCTTTATAGCTGTTGATCTTAAGTTTTTCGAGTCGTCTTCTCCCAACCCACCTTGCGAGCTGGTCGAAGTCGAGCAACAGTTTCGACAGCTTCATAGCTGTTGAACTAAGTTTCTCGAGCCGTCTTCTCCCAACCCATCTTGCGAGCTGGTCGAAGTCGAGCAACAGTTTTGACAGCTTCATAGCTGTTGATCTTAAGTTTTTCGAGTCGTCTTCTCCCAACCCATCTTGCGAGTTGGTCGAAGTTGAGCAACAGTTTCGACAGCTTCATAGCTGTTGAACTAAGTTTTTTGAGTCGTCTTCTCCCACCCATCTTGCGAGCTGGTCGAAATCGAGCAACAATTTTGACAGCTTCATAGCTGTTGATCTTAAGTTTTTCGAGTCGTCTTCTCCCAACCCATCTTGCGAGCTGGTCGAAGTCGAGCAACAGTTTCGACAGCTTCATAGCTGTTGAACTAAGTTTTTTGAGTCGTCTTCTCCCAACCCATCTTGTGAGCTGGTCAAAGTCGAGCAACATTTTTGACAGCTTCATAGCTGTTGGACTAAGTTTTTTTTTTCCGGGTTGTGCCGGCTATATAGCCGTTTTGAAAAATTCGATATATTATGGTAATCACGCTTTAGTCTGTGTGAAGAGGGGACGACCGTCATTTCTCTCGTCTTTGGGATATTGATCCTCTCTATCGGTTTGTCATGCCTTGCTATTTGAGTCGAATCCTCTCCATTAATGATTATTTTTTCAAGATAAGTCTGACAATGCCGCTCTTTTCTTTATGATATTCGAATTTCAAATCCTTTGAGTGACGCGCGTCATGTCAACCGCTGACTCCTCGTATTCTGTGTCTCATCGCGGTCTTTTCTCCTCAATCTAACGGCTGGCATCCATCTTATTTTCTATAAATAAGATTGGATTTCTTCCTTAAGCCCTTTTCACTTCTTCTCAGTTCCTTCTGCAACTCCGGCGATCTAGAGACCCAAGCTTTCTTTTCCGGCGACCTTTTCCACCGTTGCAGGATCTTAATCACCCAACAGACCGATGATATGTGTAAGTGCTTTTATTCTTTCTACCACTCTATTCCTTCTTCCTTTTATTTTCTGGTTTTTCCGGGTTTTTCTGAGTCCCTGTGTTTTTTCGTGTTCTTCAAAAAAATTTTTTTGAAGATTTTATGTTAGATCCTGCGTGAACACTCTCCAATTAGGTTAACTGTTATCGTGTGACTAGGCTACCGTGTGTAACCGTTTGTCGGATTTTATTACGTCGACTCTTATCGACACTCGTTTTCTTTCTTTTTGTACTTTCCTTGAGTCGATTTCATGTCATCTTGCCTTCGTGCTTTCACCGAAATACACCGTAACACTTTCTCCCTTTTTCTTATTTCTGTCTACTTAAGTGAGTCGATTGTGCTTTGCTTGATTTTGTTTCGTCATGTCTGATCTTTGCCTTTGTTTCTTTTTCTTCTAGCTTCCAACTCTGGCTCTTCGCCTGACACCCTCGACAGATTGATCGACAGGGGCCTTGACCGTGCTGACTCAAGCTCAGTCGAGATTACCGGTTATAAGATGGTTAACGCTTCGCCCTCTTCATCGCGTACTTCGACCCCGAAGGTCGACTGGGCTGAATATGATCAAGCTTTGTTGGACGGTGGTCTAGCTGAGGTCTCAAGGAGTCCCCGGTGAAACTCTCTTCGTCTCGACTTGATTCCTCAAGGTATTCCCCTTAGGTTATTTGATATCCCTGTATATAGCACCAGTCATGTACCTGTATCTTTAGTTACTCCCCTCGACCCTCGAAAGATTGTATCAGTAGCCTGTACTTTGGCCAAATTGGCCACTTTGAACCCTTTTTCTTATGCCTCTACGGCTCAAGTCGAGAGCTTCAGGCAGTTTAGCGGGATTGCCCCCGATTGGGAGTTGATTACTCCGGGTCATGACAGCGACTTCGCCTGTCCCCTAGAAGGTTGCCATACTTTCTTCGCTGACCAAGTCATTTTTGGCCTGCGCTTCCCTATCCAAGCCGAGCTTTTGGAGATAAGCGACTTGTATAAAATCCCAATAAATCAGTTTTCTCCAGATGCTCTTTGTATCATGATAGCTTTTATCGTCGTTTCTCGTATAGTTCTCCATTTTTTCCCGGCCGAATTTTTTCATTACTGTTATAGTTATCGACTTCAAAAGGGGGCTCATTGCTTGATCCGCCGTCCCAGCATTACTTTTCTTGATGACCTTTCCTCAAATATCCCGGAGTGGAAGTCGAAATTTGTCTTTATTCGGCCTCCCGTCGGTGCTTATCCTTCCACACATAATTGGATAAGTACTAAAGTCAAACAGAATAAACGGTCTCGATCTGAGGACCTCGAAAGACTTTTAGAGGAGTTGAATAGGTGTACTTATAGCGCTCGACGCATAATAAAAGACCGTGAGTTGTTCAATCATGCCCGAGTCGTTCTGTATTACGATATCTCTCGCCTCGATGATCCCCGTAAGCTGTTTAGCATTCCCTATGATGTTGAGTTTTACTTCTTACCTTTTGACCTTCGTTGTTTTTTTTTTTTTTTTTCAGTTAAAGAACTTAAGCGTTTCAAGGTGAAGAAAAAACAACCCACTGGGCAGCTAGCCAGCGGGTCTGCCCCTCCTCCCCCTGGCAGGTTCGGCACGCAGTCGGCTGCCATAGCTAAGAAACTCAAGTCCTCGGGTTCCAGCGCCCGCAAGAGGCCTCAAGATGATCGCGTCCCTCCCCTGCTCCCTGGCGGTAGTTGTCGACCTTCTGCATCCTCGAGTTCGTACGCGCCTCTCTCAAGCACTTTTGTGACTGTGTATGGTCCTTCTCAGTTAGCCTCTAGTTTCCCCACATGCTTGAGGGAATCAGCCCGCTTTAAGACGAGATCTCCTGCTTGAAACCGTCTGGTTCGAACTTTTTTGTCGAAAGCTGCACGCATCTTCTGCTTATACTCCACGGATCGCAGCCAAGCTTCTTCTCGCACTTCTTCTATCATGTCGAGGGCTTCTTTTGCTAACTCTTCATTGGTCTTTTCTGTATAGAATGTCGACCTGTGAGATTCCAAGCCAACTTCAATGGGCAATAGAGCGTCCATTCCATAAACTATGTGGAATGGTGATTGCCTTGTTGAACTTCTTGGGGTCGTCCTATAGGCCCATAGGACCGTTGTCAGCTCGTCGACCCAGGCCCCAGATGCCTTTTCTAACCTTTTCTTTAGCCCTTGCAGGATAGTTCTGTTTGTCACTTCGACTTGGCCATTTGCCTGTGGGTGCGCAACGGAGGAGAACCGCTGCTTGATCCCCATGTTGATACACCACGCATGGTTCCGTTTTCCTTGAAATTGCGTTCCATTATTAAAAATCAAGATCTTTGGGATCCCGAATCGACAACTGATATTATTGAACAGGAACTGTATCATTTTGTCTTCGGTGATTTTTGCCAGAGGCTCTGCCTCCACCCATTTACTAAAGTAGTCGATGGAAACCACCATGAATTTCCTTTGCCCTGTTCCCACCGGCAATGGGCCTACCAAATTGATTCCCCATTGAGGAAAAGGGATTGGGCAATTGATTGTCGTCATTGCCTCGGCTGGAATGTGGGGGATTCGACCATGGCGCTGGCATCTGTCGCATCCCTGTACTAATTGTTCAACTGCTTTTTGGATCTTGGGCCAATAATAGCCTGCTCGAAGGGCTTTGCCAGCTAGGGCTCGTGATCCTATATGCGCTCTGCAACATCCTTCATGGATTTCCTTCAAGACATGATCCCCTTCCTTTTTAGAAACGCATCGCAGGTGGGGTCCGACCATTGACTTCTTATATAAGACTCCTTCGATCTCAAA